AGAATCGTTAAGCATTTTTTGACTTAAAAACCTAAATTATTTGATATTAAGGTTTAAGATTGTGTGAAATTAAGTTAAACTTTGATTATTAGTGGAAAAATAATTGAAGGATTCAGTAATAATGCGCTATTAATGATTTACTCTATAAAAAAGCTGAAAAACAACTGAATATATTAATTATTTTGCTTAAGTTGTTGCTTATCAATGAAATATGAAAAACGGAGCAATTATTTAAAAATCTAAAGTTTAGCATAAAGTTAAACTGAACCATCTTTAAGATATAACAGTCTAATATTTGTAAATCTGACTGGTAAGGAAAGTCTAAAAATTTGGAATACGGATAAAACCTTTGGATAAATAAGATGAATTCATCTACTTTTCCTCAATCTAATATTAGAAGATAATGATATTAATAAACAATTTGACATTTTTTTTAAATCATTAATAGGAAATAAGCTATTTTTAAGTATCATTTTATACCATATGTTATCACAATAATAGTGCTGTAAGCTTATCTTCATCTGATGACATTGATTATGATATTGTTCAAATCTAATTTTTAATCTAAATTTTATCAAACTAAGCCATAAAATTATGCATAAAGATATTAGTCAAAATAAAAATAAATAAATAATTTTTCCTATATATAATTCTAATAATAAAATATCTAAAACTATTTCCTAAAAGAATATCAGATAATTATAATTAATCACAAAATTAATTATAATTTTACAAAAGTCTTGATTTATTGCTTTTATAACCTCAATCTTATATTAAAAAGATTTGTTTTGCAAAATAAAAATGAGTAAATCATATAAATTGAGGGTAGCAAATTAAATTCACAGTAAAGATTGTTTATCAAGTAACATTCCATAAAATGTTTAAATAATATACGTTGAAAAATTGAGATATTAACTCAGACAGTATTATTTAATAAATATTTTAGGATGGGAAAGAAAAGTTTTTATATTTTTTTCATTTAATGAAAATCAAGTCTAATATATATTTGGATAAAATGTACTTTAGTTATTAAATTGTAATTTGTAATTATATTTTAAGTTAAATTCCAAGATAACTCTAAGTCTAATGCTACTAAAATTAAATTTTATTTTATCACAATCATGATATCAATGTTCTTTATGGATTAGTGGAATCAAATTATAATGAGTTGCATCAGATATAACACAAAAAGAAATAGAAAAGATCAATTAGTGTATAAGGAGATGAAAAATAATTTAAATTAAATATCTTTTCATTCTAAAATTACTTTTTGAAAATAGAAGAAATAGTAATTGGAATAAAAGTTGAGAATAGGGTATCACCAAATATTTGTGTATAAAACCGAACCCTACACCATCAATCATAATTAGGGTATGTAGTAATATTTATCTTTGTCAATCTTAAGTTGTGCTTCAATAATAAAGTGATCTGATATTAGGTTTCCATTATTTAAAGCTGATTTTATTTAATTCTTATGAAA